AATGCATGCTGGAAAAAATTGCAGTAACCTTTCATAGTGGGCTCTACAATTCATGGAACATTCCATTGTTCATAGTTGTCATCCATAGAACTTCGACGGCTTGACAGGATTTCACTAAAAAGGACATAACATTTTTCTCCCAACTCAAAATAAGGCAAACTTGATGGCGTTGGAAAGATGACCCATAGTCCTTTAATTTGAGATGCCACAGTCCACCTAATTCATTATATAATGAGAGATATGATCGGTTGAAGTTGACCTAAAACTTTCAACTCAACTTGTTCTAGGGGTTCTAGTGACCTCAATTCGTATACAAAATCATTCTCACACTAAATAATTTACCTTAATACATGAGAACAATTTAGAAATCATCCGATACGATTTTATACGCATATGAAGAATGGTTCGAACCTTACTTAAAAATTTCGAAATGTTACACCGATAAACTACTCTATATCTTCTTTACATGCACTTTTTCAAAAAAATTATAAGAATTTCTTCTGATCTGATCACCCTCCCCCTTCTCATCTTGAATAACCTTCTCAAATTTTTATCTTTATAATATCCAAAATCTTGACCACTCTCACGGTTCTCCAAATGTTCAATAGAATATCACGTCACTGGCTTCATTTAGTTTATGAAGGCATATTTACCATCTTCTTTTAGGGTGTGTTCGATATGAAAGGAAAATATTTTTCTACAAAATATTTTTTTGAAAAAAAAGTAAATTTTAAACTTATTTTTTCATATTTGGTTGATGAGTAGAAAATATTTTTTGGAAATGATTTTTAGTGTTTAATTTATGAATAAAAATACTTTTGAGAAATATATTTTATTTTTACTAGAGTAGAAAATAATTTTTGAAATTGAAAATATTTTTAAAAACAGATGGGATTGAGGTGAAAAAAAATAAAATCTTGAAGTTGAAAATATTTTTTAAAAATAAAATAACTTTTTATGGGGTGGGGGCTGGAAGAGGGTGAGGGTAGGGGTGAAAAAAATAAAAATTTGTAGTTTACTTATTTTTTTTTATTTGGGGGGGGGGGAGGGGGTAGAGGGGGTCCGGTAGGGTTGGAAAAAAAAATGAAATTTTAAAGTATTTTTTGAAAACAAAATTTAATTTTTTCTTTGAGAGGGGTGGGTGGGTAGGTGGGGGGAGGTGAGGTGAAAATATAAAAAATTGACATTTAAAATATTTCTTTAAGAAAACAAATATAATTTTTTTTGAGGGGGATGGGGGCTGATTGGGGGTGGAATGAAAAAATAAAAATTTGAAAATTGAAAATATTTTTTTTAAAATATTTTTTTAGAAAAATTAATATATGAGAATTTTGGAAAATGTTTTCCTTAATATTTGAAGCAACGTCATTTTCCTTAATTTTGAGAAAAATAAGTTGATTTGAAAAATATGTTTCAAACTTTTATTCCAATCAAATATGAGAGACGAAAAATATTTTTGGATTTTCTTTCGTACCAAATACACCTATAGTATATACTTTTGATTATTTTTATCCTTTTATTTTTTTGTCCCTGCAAAATATTAAATAAATTTTATTTGTTTGATTTATTGAAATTTGAGAAAAAAAATATAAATATGAAATGTTTATTTGAAGGAGTAGTTTATGTTTTTAAAATTGAATTTTGTGGTGTCATTTTTGCCAATTTTTAAAAGAAATCTACTTTGGTTGTTTGGTTCAGCTTTTGATGTGACGTCTAAATGCACTCTTTTTTGATAAAATTTTTCCAGCAATGAAATAAATCTTGAAAATGATATATGGTCGGCTATAGATTCAGATATTTCCCTAATATAATGAGTACTCTATAAAACTATTTTTAATTTAAAATAAATAAGGCTTAAATTATAAAATCCAAATCTTTTAAATTAACAGTAACATGTATTTTTTACATTTCATCATAACATATTACTTTCTTATTTATTATTGATAATATAATTAAATAAATAACTTTATTTTTATTTTTTTAAAAGAGATGATTATATATTTTGATAAGTTCTAGAATACACGCTTTGCATGTACCTATATCAATGAGTATATATTTTTTAAAGAAAATTATTTAGGTCTCTGGAAGTGATGAATATCGATGTTATTTGATGGTTGCTAGGAGGCCAAAAACATTTATTTTGAAGAAAAAAATATTTATTTTAAAAAACATAAGTGTTTGATTAATAAGTAAAATAATTTTCAATGGAAGCACAATTTTTTTTTCTTTTGTGGAGAAGAAGTTAAAATATTGCTTCTTAAGAAAGTGTGTATATATGTGTATATGTGTGTGTATATATATATATATATTTTTTTTTATTTACCTATGTATAGTATATTGATTGAAATTTGAATATATACATTTTAATTTTATAAAAATAAAAATTTATTGTCAATAAAAATATTTTATCTCTATAAAAAAATCTTAATATTATAATTTTAGATCTTAATATTAGAGTGCATTGACTTTTTTTGTTTTTTTATAAACATTGGTCTAATATAAATTGATTTTTTTCAAAAGCATTTTTCTGATTTTTTTTTTTTTAAAAATGCATTTTTAAGTAATTTTTAACGTGGAGGAATGATTATTTTTTTTTAAAAAAAAAAGAGATAACGTACTATAATTTTTATTTGATTTTATCTCTTTTTCTAAAAATTTGTTATTTCTTTTTCTTTTTGATAAATGTTCTGGTTGTTAAATTTAGTTTCAAATATTCTTTACAAGAAAATCAATAAAGAAAACTATTATTTGAGTAGGGAATCATAAGTTTTCAAAAAAATAATATTGAATGAATTGTAGTCATGTTTCATTGTTCGTATACTAAAATAATTTACATAATGTAAAAATTACTCGTGCTTTTAAAATCCTTAATATATACACTTTCTATTTAGTTCAAACCAAAAGAAAATAATAAAAAAGGAAAATATTTAATTTGAATTTTGTTTTACCAAAGAATCAAAAAGGAAAATCAAATCAAATTATACACATTTCATATTTTTTTTAATCATTAGTTTGATTTTGATCTACTTATGTCACATGCATTATGGTACCATTAAAGCTCATTTCTTAAAAACATGTCGACACCAACATTTTAAAAGTTTAATTATCAAACACTCATATGATATGGTGTAATACATTATTGATTTTTAGTTTTATTTTCAAAGACATCTGTCTACTTTTTAATGATTTATCTCCTCTTAATTATTTCTGAAGATTTGATCATTTTATTTCTGTATAATATTATTTTATTAATTTAAAACATTTAAAATGAAAGAATCTTTTGCAATTCAAATATACAAAACTTCAAAAACAATATTGGAATATAATATAAAAATTCGTATCCGTTCATATTTATTAATAGTAAAATAGTGAAATGACGAAATAATTATTTCATGTCGGTGTTTGAATAAAATCAAATGACTATTATTTGATTTGTTTTTTATTTAATTTAGAAGTTTAAAATTTAATAAAATAAAATTAAAAGTAAAATATTTTTATTTTTGATTCGGTGAGGCCGCGTGGATCCCACCACAACACCAAAGCCGCAAACCTAAACTGATTCGTCGGCGGTATGAACGAACCGTAAATAAGCAGGATTACATTACATTGCTTATAAGTTATACCTAAATAATGAATCATAAATGGAAATATATCAAATATTCATTGTCATCATTATTAATTAAAAAAATGTCAATTTTAACGTAAATTATTAGTTTACTTCTGAATTAGACCGTCTAAAAATTATTATTCTACTTACTAGTTAAGCCACTAACAATATGTTACATGATAAAATAAATAGTCTTAAACTCATATAGCTAGTGTTTGATCATAGATTTTCAAATGTTCTTGGCAAATATTGTTTGGGTGAAATTTGACCATAGTACTTGAGAAATATATTTCACTTTTTAGAAAAATATGATTTATATCCATAAGTTTTAAAAACTGTCAAAACTAGACATAAGTTTGTATTACAAGTCAATTGAATCTTTGTTGCAATAAATAACAGGTATTGTCCATGACACTAGAGCAATGTTGTAGCTTAGAGTGAGTGCAACAAGCATCATTTCAATATCGTGAAGTAGACAAAACACATGATTTTGTTATCTTGAGTCGATTGTTCATCATTTACATCAACAATCATGTCATTACTTTCATATTCACTAAATATTTCATAACTACTTTATCGTTCAAGTAAAAATTATGTAATACAATGCAAATAATTACTATAGAAGATGTTTTTTTTGTAAAAGATAAGAGTTCGATGTAGAATTTAATATTCAAAGATTCCAAAAAATGCGTTTTGACCCAAATATTAGGAAAAACTAATATTTAAAATTCGAAATATTTCTCAAATAATGACAAATTGTATAGACAAATACTATTTGTCAAATTTTCCCCAAATATTATTTAGGGAATCTATGGCCAAACGGGCCCATAGTAGGAACATAAAACTTTTAATAAAAAATAAAAAAAGTATTAAAAACTCATCTAAATTTGACCAAAATTCAGAGATATATGCATTTATGTATTTAACCAATTAAATATATATCTTTAAAATTATCAATAATTTAATTAAAAGCTAATAATTTTACACTGAATTTAAGATTATTTCTACTAATGATCTTTTAATAAAAAAGAATATGGATCAAATGATATTTATATCATTAAGTCACTGGAATCTTTTCAACAAAAAAGTTACATTATATATATATAAATAATTTCTTTTAGGTATATATTTATAGATTTTGATTCGATTCCCTGAATAAAAAATTAGCTAATAATTAGTCGGTTCAAAATTTACATGGTGTTATTAACCAGCATTAACAATTGATTGCTCGTTAAATATTAGTTTAAACTTGTGTTATTTACCTCTGTCGTCTTCTTAAATTTATTATAATGCCTTATTTAAGCTTAAAAGATTTCTTAACTTGAACAACAATTTTTTTTTTTTGTGCAAATCACTTTTTATCTCTTTATAAAGTAGCTTCCTTTCTCATTCAGTCTCTTTCGTTACAAGCATTTCTCTCTCTACACATCTTTAAATACCTGACCTAAACTGTACTCACTTTTTAATTATTTCTACCAAAATCTCTGATCAATTCAACTCTGTATCAAATGCTACAATAATGGAGAACGGAAAACTACACAACGGAGGAGTTTCTTCATCGGAAACTTTCAACGGCGGTGAAGATGTATATAGTTCTAAACAGTCTGATGTTTCTACCGCCGATCATCTTGTTATGATGGTACACGGTATTCTCGGAAGGTAATTTTATGATTATGAAATGCGCGTTAAATTAAGTTTTTAGGCATTTGTCATGTTTGATGAAGATTCAAGTTGATTTGTGTTTTTCTCTTTCAATTAGCATGTGAAGCTATAGATTTCCTTATCTATTTGTAATTTAATGTCCTAAATTTTGGAGCTGTTGCAAATTGCTTCATTTTATGGGGAGTTCTGGGACTTATTGTGAGCAATGGATAGCCAGATCACAAGAATTTCCTTTCCCTGGCAATGAGAAAAATGATTTGAAGTTTAATAATATTGTCAACGAATTGGATAGTGTTTTGCGTTGAGATTTTGATTAAAAAAATTGTAGTCTTGAGGATTGATGATAATAGTTAATTGTTAGTTGGAGGGATATATGAGATACTTGTGAAGGAAAATGATTTCGCTCATAACTGAGGGAAGATATTTTTCTCCCTTTGATGGAAAATGCTCCTGCTGACCAAACACCACAAATTGACTTCATACATTTTCCGTCATACCAAAGCCCAAACACACTCTAAAATGCTGGCTAGCCAATCCTGTTTCCTGTCTATTAATTCAGTTTGACGTCAAACAACCACCAACAGAAAAGTTTTTTTCTGGAGTAATGATGAATTCTTACAAAAAAGTTGGTGCTTTTCTGGCGTTGGTTTTAAAAATTTGTATTTATTGCTGGGTTTACTGTTTTTGTACTACAACAGTGCTTCGGACTGGAAGTTTGGTGCGGAGCAGTTTGTTCGGAATCTTCCCGACAAAGTTTTTGTTCATTGTGAGTATATATTGAGTGCCATTTCTGTGGTGTTTCAGCACTTAGTTTCTGTATGTCATGTAATTCTACCCTTTAATACTTACCTTTTTATATTTGGTAGCTATTGCTCTAAATCAAAACTTTTCTTTTGTTCTTGCTTGCTATGCTGATTGACAAAGTAAGTTGGTTTCCCTTACTTTATCTTCTGTTCCTGTGGGCAGTCACCAAGTCTTTTTTCTTGCCTCCACATCTGCCTCTTATGCTGTGTAATCTCCTATTCCATTCAAGTCTGCTCTGATTGTGATTCCCAACTTCATTGGTCCTCCCTTTTCTAATTTGAGCTTTCTTGTATTGAATAAGTAGAGAACTTATTCTGTAAAAAGAGATTTTCTTACCTTCCCTGCTCATGTGGAACTTATTATTATATGTATCAATGTCTCTGTTTTTACCTTCTTCATAATGGCCGAGCACTAGCATATTTTGCACGGTCTTGATGGACATTATTTTCTTCTTTGATGAACGATGAACATAAATTTCTTGGCAGGCAGTGAACGTAATATGGCTAAACTATCGTTGGATGGTGTGGATGTAATGGGAGAGCGATTAGCTGAGGAGGTTGATTGCTTCTATGTGATTTGATTTTCTTTTGTTTTTTCTCATTCCTTTTTCCTAATATTTTCTCCAAAACATGATGTGTATATCATATCTGATGGTAATGATATGGTTGTTAGGTTCTTGATGTGGTCAAAAGAAGGCCAGGTTTGAAGAAAATTTCTTTTGTTGCACATTCGGTTGGAGGAGTAGTGGCAAGATATGCAATTGGGAAATTATATAGACCTCCACGAACGGAGAATGGGCAGAAATTCTCGGATGATACCAGTGAAGAAGGGTCAAAGGGGACAATAGCCGGCCTGGCACCAATAAATTTCATCACTGTTGCCTCACCTCATCTGGGTTCCAGGGGTAACAAGCAGGTATGAATTTATTTGGTCACCAATAATTTTACGAGTATTTTGTTGTTTGATAGAAAGTAGCCCCATCATGTCTTGCTGAGGAAGAAAGGTTAATTTATGCATTTATGTCTTTGCCTTTTGTCTTCTTAAGCTGGTGAAGCTTACTCTTGGATGAGAGGGCTCTGTCTCTTGGTGTTTTGAGACAGTGGACAATGAATTTAGTTAGTTATTATGGGTGACTTAGAGCTTCAATATCATGAAATTACGATAAAGCACCCAGCTAAAAGTAGCTTGTCTCGCCCTGGAGGTGAGAAGAGTTGTGAACAAAGTGGCGAACGGGTGCACAGGCTCCCAAAGAGAGAAGCCCAACGAATGTCAGTTGCAAAGCCACGCACCTCATTAAGATCATAGAGAACCTTTTCTTCTGTATGAATCGAATATAAGTTTATGTTTTTCCATGAATCTCAAAATTATCATGAAAAGAACATATAATCACCAATTCTTTAATTAATGGGTTCCTCATCTTCGACTATCATCTCCATCCTTAGTTGGTAAAGTAGCAACTGTGGAGACAAAATCAGCAAAAAAACTTGAAAAGAAAAATCAATAAATTCACTGAGATAGTAAGTAAAATAGAGAAGCAAGGAATGCACTGCATCAAGGGGAAAAACAAAGGAAAGATGCATCTAATTTTTGGGAAAATTATTCTACAGCAGGATGGACCTGGAAAATCTTACTTCAAGAGACAAAGTTTTACAGCCGCAAGAACCAGAAAATAACAGAGTATTCCTCATTTCGAGACAGTTTCTGTCCCTCCATCTTGATTAGTTGTCCAAGGGAATCTACCAACACGGAATGATATTTAACTTATCTTATCCTGATCCATCTAGCTAACAACCCCTTAGATCTAATGGTAGCTTTGACTGTTCAGTAACCTTGAAGTTGTTTCAGGGTTTTCCTGTGTGTGATTCTGATCCTTCTTTTGATAAGAAGACCTCAAAGTTACTGAAATATAAAAGAAAAATACCTCTTTGATTTACCTCGGCACTTCTTGTAAACTACATTCTTCTGCGTGCTACAGTGGCTTCTAGAACTATCAAGTTAATTATGATTTTGGATCATAGTATCATACTATATCATCTACTTGCCTGGCTGATAGTCAGTATTCTTGAGGGATCCTGTCTAGTAATAATAGATATTGATCCCCTATTTAATGTTGTGAACTGTGAAAAGGAGAATAGCTCAGTTATCTGACAGAAGTATCAAGAAGCAAAACTTTTTCCATGCTTCTTCTGTAGTCTAGGTCTTAAGGAATGAGCAAGTATTCTTCTTTTTTTGAAGTCTATTTTTGCATTATTAAGATTGTGAGTTTTCTATCTCCTGATCTTACAAGATCTGCTTTGCTTTTTCTCTCTACGATATCTGCTTTGTCATTGTTGTTTTTTGCAATATTTAATTTTCGAGCTAATTGTCAGGTGCCATTTCTTTTTGGTGTAACTGCCTTTGAGAAAGCTGCTGGGCTTTGTGTTCATTGGATATTCAAGAAAACAGGCCGACACCTTTTCCTTAACGAAGATGAAGGAAAGCCTCCATTACTAAGACGGATGGTGGAAGATGATGGTGAATTACGCTTTATGTATGTTATAAGATTTACTTACTGATACTGCATGCATTGGATAACATGATCCTACCTTTTATGAGGATCTGCAGTAAAAAGTACAGTTTGTCGATGCTAATTTGTTGCAAAACTCTCACATACAGGTCTGCATTAAGTTCATTCAAGCGAAGGGTCGCATACTCAAATGTTGGTTATGATCGTATCCTGTTTGTACTGTTGAATCAGACAATCGGTCTCTGTTATCAGAACTTCTAAAAGATCAAAGGCTATTTTTCCTTAACAAGCTTTATTTAGATATTGTAGGTTGGGGAACATCGTCAATTAGACGTAATAATGAACTGCCTAAGGTACATAATTTTCTTGTGGATACAATCCAATCGTATGTGCTACATTATATCATAACAATTTGTGTTTGCAGTGGGAGGACTCCTTAAGTAAGAAGTATCCTCACATTGTGTATCAAGAGCATTGCAAGGCGTGTGATGGTGAGCAGGGTGAGTCTGTTGTGAAGGAAGGTGATCAATTTGACAAGCTAGAAGGTTAGTAACTCTCTTCTTATAAGAGAAATTCACTTCTAGTGAAATCATCCCTTGCCCGCCCCCCTTCCTGAGCTACGTCTCAGATACATTTTTTAATGCTGCTCCACTGAGCTTTTCATGATGCTATATGTTCTCAAATGTGTGTGTGATTGCTCCTTCTGTCATCTAAGGCTTAACACCAATACAAACAAAAAATCCGCTGTTCCTAAAGGACTATGCAATTTTGTTTGTAAATCAGAGTAGTCTTTGACCCTCCGATATTTTTCAGAAATCAAGTTTCAAGTGCTTACTAGGACTCTGTTGTTGATGTGCTTGTTCGTTTGCAACTGTATTTCTTTTAATACTACTGAAACTTAGAGCTTTTGGTGAGAGTTTAGTGCCTGTTGATAATATATTGATACAATACGTATCTCGAAGAAGGAAAAGGAAGGAAGGTTGTTTTGTCTTGGCTTCCTAATATTGTAGAACTAAAACTGATTTGACCAGTTGACCTATAAAGATATTATTGTGCTAATGCTTTGACCATTTATGCAGAGGAATTGGTGACTGGTTTATCTCGGGTATCCTGGGAGAAAATAGATGTCAGCTTTCACAGCAGCAGGAACAGATTTGCTGCACATAGTGTTATTCAGGTCTCCCTCTTTCTGTACTCCCCTAGCATTATCTCTCTCTCTCTTTCGTATCTCTCTCTCGCCTTAATACAGTCAATTTCATCAATGCACAAAGCCTTTTCTAAAATATATTTTGTTTTGGTTTGGACAAGTTAGAAATGTCTATCATTATTATTATTATTATTATTATTATTAAGTACTTATATATTTTAGTTATTTTGGCTTTTATTTTATTTCCTATGATGGGGATAAGAAATGAGCTTAAATGAAGAAGTGAGGGTTCATATAGCCGACCACAACTTCGTTTGAGACTGAAGCATAGTTGTTGTTTTTGGTTCTCCTGGAATCACAGTCAGTTGCATTTAATTTAATGTTGATGAATCTGAATCATGTGCTCAGTTTATCAAACAACAATCTGACAGCAACTCCTATTTTTTTCCTGGGTGTTACTTGTTAAGTATTGATAGCTCACTAGTCGTCCTGCCTAGTCTTTTCTTTAGATTTATTTGTGAGAGACTGCATATGCTTACCCATAAATTTACACTTGAAACAGGCATTCTTCCTCTTGTTCTTCCATCTTTTATTCTCTGAGATGCTTATAAATTTATTTATTTTTAAAAAAGAAAAAAATAAATAAAATAGATTTTATAAGGAAAAAAATAATACAGCTTTGAGTGCAGGGCATGTATGTGTTGCTCAAAAAATGGAGTTACTGGATTAGATTGTCTATCACTTGCTTGAATAATGCCTTTTTGTGCACTATTTTTGAGGTTGGATAAAGTACCATTGTTGCTTTTGTCCTTATGTGTAAACCCAAATCAGGTGGATCTTTCCACTCTTCCAGTGATCACATATACAAAACCAAACACAAGGAGCAAGGGAAACCCGCAGCCGCTACCCTTTGGGTGCGCACAGGGTAAAAAAACTTCTCCCGTGCAATAGCTCGCAAACCACACAGAAGAGGTAATCCACTCTAGGCAAGCCTGGTGCGACGAGCTCGACCCAGAAGGTGAACCCCTTGCTCTTTCGCTGGCAAGAGTTTCGTACTTGAGACTTCCAACACGAAAGTACTAATCCCAAACCACTGAGCCACCCCGAAGGGTAAGCAGCCCGCAACATAGTGCCTCGTTTGCTTGAAAGGATTGTAAATATGAGGTTACTTCCAAAATGTTGCAAAGTTTTCCAACCCATTTAATAAAGTGTTAATTATTCTTATCTTGGTAGGAATTAGGAAGCACTTTTGTCCACCACATAATGTTTTTGATGAGAGTTGTCGTGTATGTGATGATCAGAATTGAGTTGTATAACCTGAAAATGTGTTGATCTTTAGTTTTTGGCCAATTCTACATATTTTTGGGACTACATTACATCAATGGCACATGTGCACAAATTTCTGAGTATATATGTTTGTACTTTGGCAAGTTAGCTCTATAACTGATAGGGGACTTAATAGGCTTGGAGAGTGATGGTGGTTGGAACAAACTGATGAAATTTCATGCCTAGATCTTCATAAATGAGCTACGTTTATGCCTATTAGGTACTATACATCATCAAGGGCACTTGTGCACAGATTGCCGTGTGATTTGGTTTGTATTGGTAATTTATTGACCTGATGAGTGGATCGTGGGAAGAGCTTGTGTAAAATTTTTACTCCCTTGTGACATGGTAATGAATATTCTTCTGCAAGCTAACCCATGGTTCATTTTTTTGGAAGTTTAAAACCAGTATGCTAATATAGTATTAGTTGGTGGCTCAGTTTGGAACAAAGAGGTTCTTGGTGGACTAAATCTGGAGTTCCTAAGTAAGAGTGATCTTAGGTCATCAGTGTTGCTTATCGGGGGTTGACTGTGTCATTTACTTAAAAAATCCTGTAACTGAATGATGATCAGAGTATACAAAGGTCAAATCATAAGGACGAAAAAAGGGTCATTTGGTGGATGATATTGTGCTGGGGAAAAAGTGAGCATTGGATCTGTTGTATTGCTTGACATTTTTTTTTCCTAGTACAGTTTTTTGGAGTTTTATATTCTATGCCGCTAATGTTTGAAATAGAGCTTCAGACTTGAAAATGTATATATGTTACTCAGATTTTATGTGCCTGCTTCAAAATTGAGATCCTTGATGTTGCCAATGATAATGTCAGACATATTAAAAGACATATTGTACTTGTAATTAAGGCTTTCTAGTCCTTCATGCTTGTTGCATTGCTTCAAGGGTTTAAGATCAACAGTGCGTATAATGCTCATGGTGTTGCTTGCTTATAGGTGAAGGACCACTACATGCATGCAGAAGGTGCTGATGTTGTCCAACATATAATAGATAATTTTCTCCTACAGTAGTCGAACAAATCTGAAGCACATTGGATCGTGATGGAGACTGCTGAATATACAAGGTAACCTTAGCTTGCGTCTACAGACTTGTTCCTTTCAAAAGTTTTAGATGTTGTGCTTAGGAGCTCTGGTATAGTTTGTGATTTGTTTTGATTTACTTAATTGCAGGTTGAAATTGTACTAGTGTCTTGTGATTACGACATTCATGAAATTTATAGTAAAGCAGTTTTGTTAACTCAATTCATGTCCTAATGTAACCTTAAACCTGTTTCCTTCTCAATGATAAAACATCATTTTTCCATGTAAGAAGAAGTTCTTACTTTTCTGTGGAGGTTGTTGGATATCATATCATGCTCTAAAATCCGAAGTAGGATTTATCATATTAAATTGAAAAAAGGTGTAACCAAAGGGGGTTCCTTTACACGAGAGGAGAAAATACTAAATTATAGAAGAGAAAGGTACTAAGCAGCTTCAAAGACTTTCTCATTCTTCTCTTCGAGAACCTGACAATTTTAGTCTTTCCTGCAGAGTTAAATAACTTCAAACATAGAATCGTTTTCTACTATACAAACAATGGACATACATGTATTTGGTACACCAAAACCACAATATAAATTTTTGATATGGGTATTATACTATACCAGACCCGCTTTTGGAGAATAATTTGGAAAATAAGAAATTAATGTTAAAAATAAATAATAATCTTTTTGATATGTTAAAAAGTGGTGAGTAAAATTTATTTTTTAAAATAAATAAAAGTGAAAAGAGTGAGCACCAAGGATAGTATAAATACAATTCTTTGATTTTCTAAAAGGAAAAATTAGTAAACTAGTCAAAATAAATAACATATTTAGTAAAAATATCCATACTTTATAAATATTAGCAAAAATGTCATTATTTTAAAAAATTTATGTGTCCCAATTTTCTTCCTATTTTATCTCTCGTTTTCAATTAATTCTATATATTCTTTTTTAGAAGAAAAAAAAATCATTCTCTCTCATATTTATCTTTTCAAATTATTAATTCTCTCTCCCATTTAATTTTTTTTCTCTCTCATGGTTATCTTTTCTGATTTTCCTCCAACATTCAAGTTGCAAATATTTTTTTGCCATATACCAAAATTGAATCAACAAGAAT